CACCAGTGTGGTCGCCTGTACGCAGGACGTAGGCACAGGGACTAGCATCCCCACCCCGCTGACGCGCAGATTACCACTCACGAAGTTGCTGGGGGGCCGGGGTCTCACGAGTGCGCTGCTGCTGCTGGCGGTGACCACCACCTAAGCCGCCCTGCTGTGCAGAGCCACCCTGACTAGCTCCACCTCCTCCGCCGCCACCTCCGCCACCGCCACCACCGCCTCCTCCTCCGTTCCCACCGCCACTGCCGCCGCCGCCATCGCCTCCACCGCCGCCACCGAAGCCCCCACCCCCACCACCTTTCCCACCACCACCCCCACTCCCTCCGCCTCCTCCACCGCCACCTCCACCGCCCCCGCCAGCCCCTCCAGCGCCCTTGCCCCCCTTCCCCTTGCCGATGCGGCGTCGCCCGCTAGGGGCAGACGCAGCACCGACCGACTTGGTGCCAACGAAGTCTACGGCAGCAGCAGAGGCAACAGAGGGCAAAAGGGGGGAGGGGGAGCACCCCTCAAAGACGAGGGCACGAGGGTCACCACGAGAGGCTCCTACAGCGACTATGCTCTTCTCTGCTGCTAGGAGGCGCTCCTCGAGGAGGTCGACGGTGACAGTGGTGGGGCAAACTGAGAGGAAGTGGTCCTTGACTAAGCGAAGGGAGTCAGGGAGGCGGGTGACTATGTAGTAGAGGGTGATGTACATGGGGGGGGGGGGGTTCTTGGCACAGAACTCAGTAGGAAGCGCAGCGCGGTAGGGGGTGTCACTAGTGCGAAGGTGCGTAACGAGGTCAGTGAGAGTGGGAAAGGCGGCGAGGTCAGGAAACAGGTACGGCAGCATGAGGCGGCTAACGGCAGCAGTGGCAGGGGAAGAGTAGCGTGCAACTACAGCATCGTACAAGGTCTTAGCACTCTTGTACCGACTAAAGTGCGCGCGCTCAGTGGACGACAAGTGACTACGCACAGTAAGACGGGCAGCAGCATCGCGCGTGGCCCACTGTGAGCGAACATTGCTGTCACCATCGGCAACAGGGGCAGTAGAGGCGCAAGACGTGAGATCGAACAGGGAGAGACTGCCTTCCTATCACATTGTAGGTAAAGCTGCAGATCATTGACCCAGACCTCAAAGTCAACAGCCCGACCCTCAGCATCAAAGACTAGAACACTAGGGGTAGCCATGACAGCAGTGGCAGCAGGCTAGGGGCAGTAGTAGTAGGTGTGGCTCGGCAGTGCTCTCACCAGGGCTGGTAGGTAGGGGCTGGCAAGCGGTGGGGCAGGGCCGAGGCGCGTCGGCAGGGACAAAGCCGCGACCGCGGCCGCAGCTCCTGCTGTCAGTGGCGGCGGCAGTCGCTACTGTCGGCGGCAAAGGCTGCTGCTGGTGGTGGCCGCCGGTGTTGTCGGCTGCTGCTGGCGGCGATTGCTGCTGGTGGCGGAGGAGCCAAGGAGGGGCCGGGAAGGGTGGCGACGGGGCCACGAAGGGCGGCAACGGGGCCGAGAATAGGCTGTGAGGGGCCGTGAAGGGCGGCGACGGGGCCGCTAGGGGCGGCGACGGGGCTGCAAAGGGCGGCGACATGGCCGCTAGATGCGGCGACAGGGCTGCGAAGGGTGGCGACGGGGCCGATAGGGGCGGGGACGGGGCCGCGAAGGACGGCGACGGGGCCGTAACGGGCGGCGATGTGAAGAAATGAGGAATGAATGAACTAGCAAGCAGGTGGGTACAAGTAGGAAAACCTAAAAGTGTTGTACCCCATATTGTCTACCCCACTACAGCCTACACAGACTATAGCATATGAGTTTGACAAGAGTACATGGCTAGCTACATCTATTTATTATGTGTATTTTGTCTTTTTATCAATATTGTCATCTACATTTACTATACATAAGGTTCCTACCACAAAGTCTTCCGCTACCAAATCTCTCTAAAGCAATCCTATCCTATCCAAGATCCTTACTCTAGCATGGTATGAGAGCCTGTTTGGACTACAAGAACTGCTAAGTCTTCAATCAAGACAAGCTTTATTACAAGTTATCCTTACATCAAGGGCAAGCATCATGCCAGACGCAGATTGCGGTGAGGCTGGAGAAAAATCAATACTTCCCTCCACCAATGTCGCCTCTACAATAACAACCGTGGATTCAACGCGCTTGAGCAGCTCATTTCCCGCATCAACGCCCTGGAGATCCATCAGCCAATGAGCATTGACGACTCTAGCTACGCCCAAAGATCTCTCGATCCTCAAGGAGCCGGGTCTGAGCGATCCTTTACCTTCGACAATCGCGGAGCTCAAGGATCTGCACAAGCACAACGGACGCATTACAAAACAATGGTGTCAATGCAGAGAAAATTCCTTTCAACATCAAAGCTAAGGACCACCAAACCCTTTGAAGGGAAGGACTTCTACACATAAAGTTTTGAATTTGAACTCCTAGCTCAAGGCTCACAAATCTGGATGTACTACGACGGATCATACGCATTCCCGACCGACGGCTCACCTCAAGAGAAGGCACAACACTACAACGAGTCGCTGTTGGTCTTCACGGTGTTGATTCGGGATTTGTCGCCTGAAGAATAGCTGAGCATTCGCCCCTTCAAAAACGAATTGGCGCCCGTGCAGCAATCCTGGGAGCACCTGCCCACCTGCCTTCTCAACTAGCTGAACAACGTAAAGATGTTCCCCGGGCCATACATCAACTGCTGCAGGAACCAGAGAGATCAATTTAGAAAAGCGGCGGCAACTTCCTTGACGACATGTTCATCACCATCATGCTTGCTGGTTTAAGCCCGGAATGTCGCCACTTCAAGTCGCTCCTTCGCACGCAAGGAACTGTCAGAATATTATGTTTCTCTAGTCTGCAGTGGGGTACTCTATAGTGAGTACAACCCTTTTAGGGTTTGCTATATGTATCCCAATGTTTGCTAGTGAACTCCTCCTCTCTTCTTCATTCCTCATTCTTCACATGCTATCAGAGCATCTACGCTCCTGGCCTCTGGGCCCATCTAACTGCTTCCGCTGCTACTCTGTGTACTGCACGCCCCGTGGCGTGCCCCTCGCGCTACCCTTCGCGGCCCCGTCGCGGCCCTTCTAGGCCCCTCGCGGCCCCTTCGCGGCCCCGTTGCCGCCCTTCCAGGCCCCTCGCGGCCCCTACACGGCCCTGTCGCCGCCCTTCTCGGCCCCTCGCAGCCCCTTCGCGGCGCGTTGCCGCCCTTCCAGGCCCCTCGTGGCCCCTTCGCGGCCCCGTCGCCGCCCCTGGCGGTCCCGTCGCCACCCCTAGCGGTCCCGTCACCGCCCCTAACGGCCGCGTCGCCGCCCTTCGCGGCCCCGTTGCCACCCTTCGCAGCCACGTCGCCGCCCTTCGCGGCGCCGTCGCCGCCCCTAGCGGCCCCGTCGCCGCTCTTCGCAGCCCCGTCGCCGCCTCTAGCGGCCTCGTCGCTCTTCGCGGCCCCGTCGCCGCCTCTTCCGGCCCCGTCGCCGCCCCTAGCGGCCCCGTCGCCGCCCCTATCGAGGCCCTGCCCCGGCTCTGCCCCGGCCCCGCCCCGGCCATGCTTCATTGCCTGGCGCGGCGCACCGGGGACCCGTGCACCACCCCCCCCCCCCCCCCCCCCCCCCTCCTTTCCCGTCGCCTGTCGAGGCGACCTGAGGGGGCCGCCCGGGGGGGGGGGGGGGGGGGGGGGGGGCGAGCGCCGCCCCTTCTGCCGCCTGTTTTGGCGCCCTGGGAGGCGGCGCGTCGCCCCCCCCCCCCCCCCGTAACCTCCCTACCCGCTGTCCCGCCCTGCCCTGAGTTAGGGTCTGGGGGTGGCGGGTTTGTAGTCTGCCCTGCTCCTCCTCCTCCTGTGTCTCCCACTGCTGCAGCTGCCGCTGAGGGGGGTGGGTGTGTGGGAGTCGACGGAGTGGTGCTAGGGGGTGGGGTGTGAGTGAACCTAGGGGTGCAGTACGGGTGTGTGAAATGGGGGTGGGATAGTTTGGGGAGTTTGAAGGGGGTGGCCGCCGTGAAGCCCGTAGCTCCAATCGCCAGTGAGACCGTTGCGCCAGTCGCCCGTGAGCCCGTTGCGCCAGTCGCCCGTGAGCCCGTTGCTCCAATCGCCCGTGAGTGTGTTGCTCCTGCCGCTCAGAGTTAGCCGCGGAGCCAGTTACTCCACTAGCCGGTATGCCAGTTGCTCCAGTTGCCAGTGTGCCAGTTGCTCCAGTTGCCCGTGTGCCAGTTGCTCGAGTTGCCCGTGTGCCAGTTGCTCCAGTTGCGCCGTGTGCCAGCAGCTTCAGCTGCCGCCCACTACCTCCTCTCCTCTCATAGTCCCTCCTCCACACTTGCCCTCTGCGATAGCCTCTAGCTTTGCTTATATTTGTGAACTTTAAACTGTTGCTTCTTGTACTTGTGCTCAGAATGTGTGGTGACATTGTGATCCACCTTGAGCTTGTTCTGCTTTGCTTGTTGTGCTGATTACACCCCACTTTGACTATGGGGGTGTGTCAGAATATTATGTTTCTCTAGTCTGCAGTGGGGTACTCTATAGTGAGTACAACACTTTTAGGGTTTGCTATATGTATCCCAATGTTTGCTAGTGAAGTCCTCCTCTCTTCTTCATTCCTCATTCTTCACAGGAACACTCAGCGAAACTTCCCTATCGCCAAACAACAGGAGATCGACGTGTACAACGAGAGAGGCAACAAGAAGGAGAAGATCGCGTTTTACACGCAAGCGTCACCGGACAAGAAAAGACTCTTCTGTAAGTACCGCAAGAAAAAGAGGACACACAATTCAAGAATTCTGGAAGCTGAACATCAACAACAGCAATCATGGCCAGAAAGGTTGAGCAGCTCACCAGCAAGCCGCAGGATCTCCTGCGCGCAACCAGACAATATTACCACCGGCCGTCGCCAGCTCCTCTCAAGCTCTGGCACGTATCCCTGCGAACACAAATGACAAGGGAAAGAGCAAGGTGTTAACCTGCATGGTGCGACATGGACCTGCCTCGACCCAACCAACAATACCGATTCTTCTGCAACTAGGAGGACATGTTCGCAGATCCACCTAAGGAGAGACCTGAAGGCTCGGTCGAAGACAAAGAGAAGAATGACCCTACCTACGACGAGGTGATGGTCGGCCGCATGCAGTTCGATTGGCAAGCCCTACAGTGGATCCAAGAGTTGCCACCTGCACGCTTCACATACAACGGCGGGGGTTATGAGTATGAAAATGATCATGACATAGAGCATCACATAACTCCAAAGCTCGCAAACCTCGCCAAAGCCAAGAAAAAAATTAACAAGTGGTACCTTGACAATTACTACGGACAGCACATGGTCTCGTCGAGCATCTTCATCCTCAACAATGAAGAGCCCTTCAACGATGTCAAAATCACCATCGCCAACAGCCAGACGATCTATGCCAAGAGCCGCGGACAAATCTAGCTGGAATCGAACGACATCGGGTAGTGCATCCACATCAACGACGTCCTCGTCGTGCTAGAGCTTCAGTACCACCTCTTGTCCTTCGACCAACTGATGAAGTGTTGTGTTGAGCTGCACACAACAGAAAACGAGCTTCACTTAATGTACAAAGGGAACCTTCTCGGAAAAGCAAAGAGCAAAAACAGAGTGTTCGTGCTCGACTTCGATTCACCCAAGACCTCTTGCAACAACCAACACATCATAGTCCTTGATCCACCCAGCCATCCGTCGCCACCAACTTGGAGACACCCAGATGAAACCAATTATCACAACCCGACCTCAACGGAACCTTCCGCACCCTTGTCGTACGTGTCGCCTCGACCACGAATCTTGCAGTCATAGGACCACAAGCAGTGGAGGAAGGAGAAGAGATCACATCGGAAACAACAAATACGGAAGTCGGAGGATGGGCACGAGCAATCAAGCCCCACGTTAAACAACCTACCGACCGGAACACGAATGAAGGTTGGGACGCAGTGGACGTCCGCTGGGTCATGGAAAACACCGCATTGGGAGAAGCCGTTGCAGCTGAAACCGGATGGGGAGACGTCGCCGACGGACCTGCAGAGGAGGAAGAACCAGAAGTCACTGAGGAGGCACCGGAAGCAGAAGAAGAAGAAGAAGAAGAAGAAGAAGAAGAAGAAGAAGAAGAAGAAGAAGAAGAAGAAGAAGAAGAAGAAGAAGAAGAAGAAGAAGAAGAAGAAGAAGAAGAAGAAGAAGAAGAAGAAGAAGAAGAAGAAGAAGAATCATTGACGGAGTATAGACCTCACCTCATCCCCATCACGACAAACGGCAGGGACTATCTCTGTGTCGAGACAAGGGGAGCAGTGATCGGCGACATCCACTTTGAGGAAGGAGAAGTCATGGAGCCGGAGGATCGGCATCTTAAAACTATACCGACACCTACCCAAGGGCCATCGGAGCTCCTCGTGACAATCGACACTATCCCAATCGGCGACACCAACGGGGTGTATCGCGGCGCGACACTTCAGGCAGCGGCAGTCCACATCGCTGTACCTGACAGACCTGCAGAACAAGCTGGAAAGGAAACTGCATAAAGAATCTTAGCGCAGGAGAAGGAGCTCTACGTATGTACAAGAGGATATCGTGCCGACCCTGACATTTGGCACCAACGATTTGGGCACCCATTAATTAAAGTGCTCAATAACCGCATCAACGCAAAAGTCTTTGCAGCAGACGCACTGTTGCTGCCAGATGGAAAGCTATTGAAACCAAGGACTGACTTACCCAACTACACCGTCTGCTCAAGAGCCGTGCTGCGTCACACACCCTTTGCTGAGAAGATACCTGGAGCCGAGCGATACAAACTGCTCGACAAAGTCTATAGAGACTTCCTGGTACTCACGGAAAAGGGAGTTGGAGGAGAACACGCTTACCTTCATCGACGCTGAGACGCGCTTCGTCTGGGCCATGAACGCTACCAACCGCTACCTCGCCTACCACTGCTTCTATCTATGGCTGAACATGGCAGAAACTCAGAGCGAGGGGAGGAAGCTGAAAGCCTTCCAGACCGGCGGAGCACTGGAGTACTAGACAGAGGAGTTCAAAATCCTCTGTGGGAAAAGGGGGATCCAGAGGATGATTTCCCTCCCATACGCTCACGAGCAACAGGGACTGGCGGAGCAAACCAACAGGAGCCTCGCAAAAAAAATGCGAGCTCTCATGAAGCAGTCAGTTGTGCCAACCAAATATGGCCCTTTGCGATGGCACATGCAGCTCGCCTGCACAATATGCTATCTTCGAAAGCACTGCCCAACTACACCTCGCCATTAAAGGAATGGACTGGCAAAAATCCCGACACACGCATGCTGAGGGTCTTTTGGTGCATAATACAGTACTGCCCTGCCCGAACCGGAAAATTTGAAGACCGCGCTTCGTTAGGGCATTCACCTCGAAATCAACGCCTAGAAAATTCTGGATTTCGCCACCCACCAACTCACGCGTTCACGTGACTGCATCTTCTACGAAAGACTGACCCTGCCGCTGTACCGACAACCCCGCACTGCACAAAACGCCCCAGACAACATCTTCCAGGGATAGCACAGCTACGCCAGTGACGAGGATGACATCGACGTGGCAGGAGAGCAGCCAGACGAGACAGCTGGAGACGAGGCACCTTTTGTATTTGTTACGGAGAAGTTCGGCACAGCAACCATTTTTCCAACAAACACTAATCAACGCTGTGTAGTATAGGCACAACACAATTAAACAAGTGCAGAAATGCACTCACCCATGGAGGAAGACCCCGCCCGCGATTCTTCTCGTGACATCCCTAGCGAAGACAACGACATGGTTGAAGTTACCAACCCAGTTGAATCCAACCTCACCGCTCTTCACATCCTCGAAATCGTCGTCATCATACGGGGTAACTAGCAGCTGGTTGAGCCCACCACCGTTTGCCAGGCTCTCAGCAGACCTGATGCTAAGAAGTGGAGAGCTAGCCATGGCCGCAGAAGTCGCTGCACTCCAACGGGCGCGGCACATGGGAGCTGGTACCACGCCGACACGCAAAGGGGAGAAAGATTCTAACAGGAAAGTGAGTCTTCAAGATCAAAATACTCGTGGATGGGACTATTGATGAGTACAAAGCTCGACGGGTCGTCCGCTGCTTCGAGCAAAATCAGTTTGTGGACTATGACAAGACATTCGTGTTGGTGCAACTCTACGGTTTGCACTCGGCTTGTTGTCCATATGCGTGCATGTGTCAACGGGAGTTGGGTATTGGCCCCGTCCCCGCTTGGGCGGAGCCGACTTCGTGGTCGGGTGTGAGGGGAGCAGCCGACCTGTAGCAGTGGGTGAGCTGGTCGACGAGGAGGTCGACCTGCACGGGGGACCACTGCACGGGCGCCGACTTCAGGGTGGCGCCGACTTTAGGGAGGTCGTCTTGGGAGTCGACCTGCGGAGGACGTCAACTTGGTGAAGCCGACTTCGGCGGTCGGCTAACGGACTGCTAGTCGACCTGTTAGTGGTCGACTGGACCTGGTGGTCGACGGAGGAGGGGCCGACGTCGACCTTGACTCAGGGCGCCAAGCAGGAAGACGCCGAGCAGGAGGACGCCGCCCTGGAGGCCTGGTTGGCGTCCCGTGCGTCTGCACGGCGTCCGGGGTCCGGACGCCGATCTGGGCGTCGGGTCCCGACACCGACCTGGGTGTCTAGTCGGCGTCGTGGGAGGAGGGACGCCGCTCTGGAGGTGTGGTCGGAGTCCCGGGCGTCTGGACGCCGACCAGGGGGTTCGGAAGGCGTTCTGGGCGCCTGGACGCCAGACTGGGGACGCCGGGCATGCGTGACCGGCTACGGACTGCGTGAGCCGACCAGGCGTGGTTGCCCGGTCGATCGGGATACCCGGGCGACGTGCGCGAGTGTCGCCAGGGTGGAGACTGCGAGGCCGACCTCGGGGGTGGTATCCCGAGGTCGACGTGGCCGGTGGGCACAGTCGCTGGCGTGGAGTCTGCCAGGCGTCTGCGTTGCGCACATGACAGGGAAGTGCGCACCAACCAGCTGCGCGCACCTGCGAAGCAGGTGCACCGTTGTCCTGCAGGTGCAACGCTGGGCAGCCGACTTGGTGCAGCGCTGGCACACCGTGGACTTGCAACGTTGGCGAACCGCTACCCTGCTACGCTGGAGGTCGACCAGCAGCCTAGCTAGCTCTGATGTAGTCAATGTTGCCAATGTTGTTGCTACCATTATCGACAACTTTCTCTAGTGAAACTCTTGCCAAATTGCCCCGTGAACTAGCAAGCAGTGTGAGCACTAGGAAAACGTCTAAGGACCAACGAACGCAGACATTACACGAGCACACGTGCCTAGCCAGTACTCTAAGCTCCCGTTGTAGTAGTTATCTTCACAGCATGCGTGTGTGCATGTAATGGTATGAGGCATGGGATAATACATATTTCATGCTTATAATAGTGCGTGAATGTTGAGTCGTGATGTCGAGTGTGTGTGTCGAGTCAGTGTGTCGAGTCAATAGCGAGTTATCGCTAGTCGCGTGTTACGCGGTCATTTTGTGTGTCCTGCGCGGTTTATATTTTGTCGCTTGTGTGTCTCGCGCGGTTTCTATTTTGTCCTGTGTCGAACGTTCGGCGTGTCGCAGGTATATGCAGCAGACCCATCAAGAACTCAAGGATGAGTTTGTGACTAAGAGCCCGAGCCTTGGTGTCAAGCCTCAACAGATTTTGAAGCTCGCCAAAAGGGTACACCTCAAGATATTGAAGATAGGTACATTACTTTGTGTAGTATAACATTTCACTTGGTGTAGGCCCTAGTGAAGGGTAGTTTCGAGACCCTTCGTGGTTGGGGACAGTGTGGCATTGTTCCACATCACTGTACCTTGGCTCTTGGGGTTTGTAGGAGCTGGGAGTCATTCCCAACCCGTAACTCTTCCTATCTTGTGTTCTAAGACCATAGTGGCTGCCATAGTGCCGTTCGTTCAAACCGACGCTGTGTCGTCAATACTTGGTAAAATCGTGCGATCTAAATTGCCTATTGTAGGGGACATAAAGACGCTCCAGATTCAAGTTGAATCAGGCCATTTGAAGCTGTGACCAGATCGCTATGAAGGTTCAAAGCCGCTGTGCAGAAATCCGACTGTGCACTCTATCTTTTGTTTTAGGCACATTGGAGCCTACTTTGACAATAACAGTTCACCCTTACTGGCCGTCATACCTCTGTACGAGTCCTCCTCTGTGTTGCAGCCGTAAAGCAGTGTCCCCTACGCAAGATCGACGTGTCAAACGCATTTCTCTACGCGATCGTCGATGCGATCCTCTATGTCAAACAACCGCATGCCTTCAAAGAGGACGGCGTTGCCATCTGCCTCCTCCAGAATTCCCTCTACGGGATCAAGCAGGCATCACACCTGTGGCAGCAGTACTTCCATATTGTGCTAATCGAGCTCGGCTTCCAGAAGCTTCCCCACGATCAAGGGATGTACCGCCTCGAATCTCGCGGTAGCTTTATTCCGCTCGTCACCTATGAAGACGACCTGCTCTACACCGGAGATAATGCGGAACTGCTTGATTGCTTCGAACGGAACATCAAAGAAAGGCTCCAAGTGACCATCGATCACGATGTCACCCAATTCTTCAGCCTTAACGTCAGTCAAACGGCCGACACGATTCACCTCTCTGTTGCGAAATACGCGAAGACCCTGGCCAAGAAGTTCAGCATCGCTCCTGTCGGCATCACCACTTTGTTCCACACTACTCCTAACCACAAGCTCGACACCACCCACCTCTCCACTGCCGACCAACGCCTCTATCAGCAGCAGCTTGGGTGTCTGCTCTTCGACGCCGTCACGTGCCGCCCGGTCCTATCCTACGTTGCTAGCCAGCTCGCCCAGAACCTGCACCGACCTGAAGGGAAGAAAACCTGCGACTCGCCCTACAGTACTTCATCGCTACACCTGACGCCGGCCTCACCTACAAAGCCAACTTAACGGCTAACCTATAGCTTACCAGCTACGTGTACACTGATCATGCTGGGGACGCAGACAACAGAAGGTCCCGCACAGGCTTCATTCCAAGCTTGAGCCTGCAAGAACCATCTCCTAGAACTTACTGAAGTAAGACCTCATCGCCGTTTCGTCAACAAAATCGAAGTTCATTGCAGCAAGTGCAGCATTTCGCGAAGGACTCTACCTCACAGAGCTCCTACAGGAAACAAAAACGGCGATAAACAGGTCATTCAAGTTACTTTGCGACAACCAGAGTGTGATCAAGATCGCGAACAAA